TTTTTATGTACTTTCCTTATTTTTAACGCATTGCTTTACAACCAATTAATAGAAATAGGTAAACAAGAGTAAACAGTCGTATAAAAACAATAAAGTATCACCTGATAATTAAGATTTTATAGTATATATAAAGATATATACTATAAAATACCATATATACCTGGGATAGTATATATAAAGATGATTTTTTATTTTTCTTGAGAATTTCATATTTTTAAAAATTTCGATACTAATGTTAGAATCTCTTTTTCTCATATTATTTTATTTTATGTATTGACTTTTTTTGTTGACATCAGATAANCCCCCCCCCCTGACCCCCTACTGGCGCCGCCCTTGAGAAATAAGAGTAATTTTACTTATTAAATATACAGTCCCTGGCCAAATTATTAGGTGCACTAAAGATTTTATGCAAAATCTTAATTATCATGTAATACTATACAGCTTTATTGTTTTTACGAGATTGAAAAGATTTGCACACGACTGAAACAGGTTTGAACTTGTTTACGTTAGTGTATTAATTGGTTAAATTAGATGATATATTACATAAATATAGAATATTTATTATATCAGGTATTATATTATAAAAATTGGACCAAATTATTAGAAGCACTTTAATAATTACACGAGTTTATAGGCAATACTTTTATATTTAAATATAAGCGTAAAGGGTTGTTATTGGAGAGATTTTTTATGTACTTTCCTTATTTTTAACGCATTGCTTTACAACCAATTAATAGAAATAGGTAAACAAGAGCAAACAGTCGTATAAAAACAATAAAGTATCATCTGATAATTAAGATTTTACGTAGAATTCCTAGGGAGTCTAATAATTTAGCCTGGGATAGTATATATAAAGATGATTTTTTATTTTTCTTGAGAATTTCATATTTTTAAAAATTTCGATACTAATGTTAGAATATCTTTTTCTCATATTATTTTATTTTATGTATTGACTTTTTTTGTTGACATCAGATAAATAAGTTTTTCTTCAACTATGCAGTCATTATTTAAAGCAAAAAAGAAAAATTATCATAAAATTCGAGGGAAACGAACTTAAAGTTGCAACAATATTCAAACAAATTGAAATTTTGAAGAAAAAAAAAGCGCATTAATTTCATAAATGAAAATGAACTTTTCAGCACATCAAATTTTAACTTTGTACTTGCGTCTGATTCTACAAATTCGTTTCGTTTTTTGTTGAAACAAACTCTTTGAACATTTTTTATATGTCTTCATCATTTCAAATTTCTAAGTCATAGGTTTTGCACCACAAAACTTAATGTATAGAGGAAAAAAAAATCGCAATAACAGTACTTACTGACTTTTATTTAACGAACTTCCATTTCCTCGAATTTCTCCATTTTGCCATATTTTTCGAGGAACATTTTGGAAATTCCTTCGTAAAATAAAAATTTCGATACTTCATAACTTCCAAATAACGAAGTGAATTTTCTATTTAACGAACTTTTCTTTGCGATCCACTTTTCCTATTTCCCAAAATATTTCAGAACATTTCGAACATCTTAAAGCGTTTTATGGGGGAAATGACCTGGAATTGATTTTCGAAGCCACCTAACTTTTAGAGAAAGCAGTAAAATCCCTTCCTGTTTGCATTTGAAACGAAAGACAAAATGAACAGATTTTATCAGTAGCAATTAAATTTAAGAATGTATGTTTAAAATTACTTTTATAATAAATGCAGCTATAATTTTATACATAAATTTAGTTTTCTTTTTTTTTTTTAATTTGAATATGTACGTAGTATGATAGTGTAAGTTTTCGTGCAGATTTGTTTTATGGCTAAGACTTATAAAACAAATAGTAGATACTAGTTTAAAAGATAAAGGTGTACCAATTGCTATTTTAATTATGTCTAGTGTTTATGAATTAAAACCTGTCTTGTGTTGTTTAAGTATTTCAAAAGGTGATTTTCTATTTAACGAATTTTCCATATAACGAACTTATGATCGGAATTTAGCTACTTCGTTAAATCGAGGTTCTAAATAAAGGTACTTAACGAAAATTGAAATTTAATAAAAAAAAAAGTTTGTGTTTAGTTCATGAATAAAAATGGTCCTTCTAGAGCATTTAACTTAAACTTTGAAGTTGTATTCTTACGGCCTGCAGAGAGACACGCATAGGTTAGGAGTTTATAATTTTCGAACTAATCAGAAATTCTTTTCTTCCATGTAAATCCTTGTACAATTTTCAGCAAATATCTTCGTGATTTCACGTTTCTAAACCAAAACAGAGACGGCTCTCACAATATTTTAATATCGAAATAGTTTCGTTTCATAGCAGCAAACAACTTTAACTTGTTTTAAACTCGAAATTTATAATCTGATTCGTTTTAAGTATAAATGGAAATTTTTTTAAAATTTGGGAAATTTTTTTTAATATTCTTATTATTCAATAAAATCTATTTCATACGTAATATCATCTTTTAAATATTTAATTTAAATGAAGTTTTTACTTTTCTTAAATACGTTTCTTTTTTATTTCTTCTTTTTTTTTACATATTTCATTACAATGTGTTTTAAAACATTTCATTTCCTTATAACTGAATGGTTAATATTAAATATTTATACTAGTATGTATGAAAGATAACATTGTTTTATACTATTTTTATGCCAAATGTATCTATTTTCATTTTCTTTGCATTGTATCAAAACTATGCAGTAAATTTGACACATTAAAAAGAAAATACAAGATTTATGAACTTTGTTTTAAGAAAAAAATTTTGTTTTATTATTGATGCAGTTTCGGCTAAAATAACTTATAATATGACAAAAGAGATATTATTTTGGTGCTGTGTGACACAGTTCTGAAAGTATTGTACGACTCACGCGCTTTTAAACCCCTATTCCTTAAATCTTATTTTTAAGAACTTTTCTGATGAAAACTCATCAAATCAAACTTAATTTTTCACCTCATCTAATGTAATTGCAAGAATTAAATAAATGAATAAAATAATCATAAATTATACTTTCTAAATTGAGATTCTCAACTAAAATAGTTTTAGAAAGCTAATGATCAAAAGTTTAGAATAAAAAAAATAACTTTGAAAAAAGGATTATTGTTGGGGGGAAATCTAAGGTTTCCAATAAAATATTCTTTTCATCTCGACTTTTATCTGAATGAAATATTTCAAAACAATTAGTTGTATAATCTAGATTGCTCCTGTTTGGTTGTCCTTCCTTTTATTCATTTCTAGTCACTTTTTTGAAGGTCGTTCTTTCAACATCCATGGCAACTTTTCTACACACGTCTTCAACTACTCAATGAAATTCGATACACTTGTTGGAGTGCCTTATTTCTAATCTACAGATTATTAGACGCATTATGTAAATTTAGACTATACAGTTGTACTATAATTTACTTTGATTGCAATGCAATACGTTAAAAATAAATACAAATAGGAAGTATATAAAAACCCGTTACATGCATATTTAAATATAAAATTGCGTATAAACTTGTGCAAATCATGTAATTATTAAAAAACTATAGTGCGTCTAATAATTTGATCTAATTATTATAATATACTAATTTAAGGCAATATAATAAATATTCTATAATAAATATGCTTGATACAATAAATATTCTATATTTATATAATATATCGTCTAAATTATCCTATAGTCGAATTTATATTATATATATCGTCTCATTTAACCATTTGATACACTAACGTAAATAAGTGCAAACCGGTTTCAGTCGCGTCAAAACAATAAAGCTGTATAGTATGACCTGGTAATTAAGATTTTACATAGAATCTTATAGTGCGTCTAATAATTTGGCCAGGGACGTTATGTTAATAATGAATGGTATATGAAAACTAATGTATTTTTTTCCCGACGGAATTGTTTTGTAAAAGAACCCCTTCTACAAGGATCGCAACTAGAAGATTAAAGAGATCCTTTCCATTCATTGAAAAGGACGATGTTCCAATCTTCCTCAGTTAAAATCTAAAAATAATTTCAGCAAAAAAAAAAGAATTCTAAAAAAATTATCAAACAGCAGAGGTCGCTATAGCAACGCTCAGTTTACTATTACTCTTGAACACAGTTGAAAAGTGTGATTACGTCGAAATAAGGTGCGCACGCCATCAAACCCAAAACAACACCCATTTTGTCAATGGGAAATAAAATTGAAGAATAGTATCTACATACAAGAGTTGCTGAAAGGCAAAGTGGCCGGATTTAAACTTGACGCCACCTCTTGAGACCACCTTAGGAACCTTTCATCTACAGATCTGACATATTATCCGATTCCACACACTCAGAAATATCAGTTTATTTGTTATGAAGAATACCACAATTAAAAACGAGGACTGGATGAGACATTCATGCAACGGCGCCAAAAAATATGCACAAACCTTGAAAATATTTGTCAAAAATGTAGTGTTTCGAAAGTGATTGATTAAATTGATACATTAGATTTTGTTTATTAGATTCTTTTTACTTATTTTCCAATATAAAATTCATTCCTTACAGCCTATTCTAAGCTTTTTTTTTGTTAACTGTATGTAATTTGCTATTTTCATTACTTTAGTTTTCCTTTACCGTATCAGATGGTCATCTCACCTCGACATCAAGGAGAGATGGTCACTTGTTAGTTTAATTTCAATTAACTTTTTCATGTTTTGTTCTCAATATTCCATTATTTTTTGCTCAAAATATGTAAACCATGCATAATCATTTCTATTCTTAGTACTTTTATTTCGATTTGAAAAACACTATGGCCATGTATCTTAGACTTACCCTTCTAAAAAGTCCCGCAAATGTTCTCTGTCCCATTTTTCAGAATTAAACAACATATAATTTTTCAGAATTATGTTTGTCATAATAACATTTCTATTCTTAGTACTTTTATTTCGATTTGAAAAAAGTTATGGCTATCTATCTTAGACTTACCCTACTAAAAAGTCCTGTAAATGTTCTTTGTCACATTTTTTAGAATTATGTTTGTCAATTCTTTGAATACTTTTAAAATATTTTCAGGTGACGTTAGGTGTCCTCTTTGTTGTGTTTGTTTATTCCTTTGCAATGGAATCATCAACACAGGAAACAATTGTTATGTTCGGATCCGTTCAAAAAGGCAAAGTTGACAAGAAACTAAAAATTGGAGACATCCATGAAAAATATGAAACATCTGATAGCAATAGAGATTCTGTATCACGATTTAAACCAAAACCTGAAACCAAATACTTTTATGAATTTTCTGCAATCAAAAAGAAAGATTTTAAAAAAGTTGTACCACACATAGCTGGTCCAATGTTGCACCCACTTGGATTACATGTACGAGAATTAAACTTGCCATTTTTATACTGAACATCAAATAAAATTGCATGTAAAATATAGTCCTTTTTATACTGAACATCAAAAGCAATGGGTAACTAGTAACATTTTCATTTTGTGACGTAGCTAATTTAACTGCTAACCGATCATAAAGGCCTCTTTTTTTTTTCTCTGAATATAAACAAAAATCAGCTCTAAAGCCTACGAAGAAGTTTATCCCTTTCTCAAATAAAAATAAAGCTGAGATTGTTACGTAATAGACCTGGTTGAACTTTGCTTCGAAGTTCACCTTACTTATGAGGCAAACATAAACAATCAAACGAAACTGTTAAGAAGCTTCGCCCCGCAACTTTCTAAAATAGTTGTCCATTTTTATACTGAACATCTCTTTAAGTGATTCCAAATTTTTTGAAATTCATTGTCTATACCAATAGTAATATAAAGCGTGTTTTATTGGGAGTTAACGGCGTTATTTAAAGCTCTGAAATTTAACTAGCCCTCTATTTATATACCAGATTTTAAAATAACAAGGGGGTTTTGCGCCTTGTTCAGCAGCCCCTGAAAAGGCAAACGCAGTTTCTTACAAATTTCTTCACTTTTTTAAAATTTAAATTCACTAAAATTTATTTCATATATAATTTGTTTGAATAAATTTAGGAAAATCATAAATATCTAACATTTGAAATAATATTTTAGAGCTATTGTGCATACTCTGCAATTGCAAATACTATGATAGAATTTTATTAATAGTTCTAATTACAACACAAGAGGTTTACAAATGAGTAAATAATTGATATCATGTATTTTATTGAAATATTAAATGAAGAGTTTAATTGGATGCATCTAAGAGCCAAATCTTGAACATTTATAAAGCAAATTTTAATTGATGAATCTAATTTTGAATTGAGTCAGAAAATTGCAAAAACATTCAGCATTCCTTATAAATTAAGATATTAAGATTTTTCTTACATACTTTCAAATATGTAAGAAAAATCTTTCGAGGAAAAATAAGAATTTTCAATGAAAAAATACTGAAACTTGGAGAGAAAAATACTCGTTTTTGGACCTCTTTCGGCACTACAAGAACTAAACTCTAGGCAGCAAGGGTGTAGAGGGGTCGGAACACTGTTCTGCAACTTTATTATATTTATATTTCTTTAAATTGAGTAATATGTTGAAAGAAAATTTTATTTTTCAAAATTAATTAAAAAATTATATTTTTTTCTTTCCATAAAAAAGTAAAACTACTTAGAACTCCATCAATGGCTGGAAGAGCTAGTCATTCCACAATAAAGGGGCAAATATATATTTTATAAATGTATTATTAAGTTAAATGACCAGACAAAGCTAACTCAACAAAATAAAATTTTAGTTTCGTTTATTTTGGAGAAATACTGTACATTTAAAAAAATATCTTCTTTAAGAACTAGGTTTTTTAAAACAATAAAAAAAATCTCGCATATTAGGTAAGGATGCTTCACTTTATATTTATCAGGAATGTAAAACTATTAGATAAATGTTCTTTTTTGTGAAAAAAATTTTTCCTGAGATTTTGGGGGTTGAAACTCAAAGTAGTCTATCATTTTTTTTTTTAATACACTGATTTTGCACATGGTAAAACTCATTGTGTGTGAACCAAGTAATATTATTTATTTTATGTTCAACTATTTCCACATTAACTATTAGATCATAAATACTTATGATTGACCTTGGACATAGTAATCATTCAAAGTTCTAGGATAGCAGACTTTTTTTTGAGAGTTCAAATGTCAAAATTTACTAGTGCCAACAGTGAACTGAAACTATTAATTTTTTAGTGGATACATACAAATGAGTGAGTACTGCCAAAGAAAAAGCAAGGTATGTGAGTCATCCTGTTGGCATGATCTTATACATAACATTACTTACACCATAAACATGGCAAAAACTGAATTTCTTTATCTTGTTTCAAGTTTATTATTTGCCATTGACAAAAGTTAGCACACTGAACAGTTATAAGATTTGCTGGGGAAAAAAACCAAAATATAGCAGAAACCAAATCAATTCACAGATTTATTGTAACTTACTCAGCTAGACATGCAATTAAAAAACAATTGGAGAAAGATTAAAATTAGATAACAAAAAGCAAATCCATATAATGGAATTGCATGGCCATAAGTGCTCTTAAAGTTAAATTGCAATAAAAATTGAAAGATCTAGATCAGGGTGCGTAGCCAGATTTTTCAAAAAAAAATAAGCACCTTTTAAGTACTCAAAAATATTTTTAATCACTTTCCAAAAAAAAATCATAATTAGGATATGTGCAGTAATAAAAATGCTTTTTTCTATTGTTTAAAGTTCTTAATTTATAAACACAAAATCAATAAAATTTAGAAACATTTTCAAATACCAAATTCAAGTTTCTGATAAATATTGTAGATAAAATATGAAAATCATGCATTATTTGCAATTCAGAACAATCAATAGGGCAAGAAAAAATCTCTTTTTAAAAGATAGAAAATTAAGCACTGATTACAAACTCCAAATAAAAAAACACCTTAAGGGCTTTTAAAAAACGTAAATAAGCACCTTTAAAAAACACTATGCACCCTGTAGATGTGTTGCGCAAAACTTAAGAAAAGTATGGATTGAAAAATCCAGGGGGCTGACTGTGAATTAATAAATATTCCCTGAAAATCATGAGACAATGAGCAACAATTTAAAACGTAGTCCAGGTGAATTTCCAAGTATGACAACATTCCTGTATCAAAATCTATTGTTCATTTTTAACTAAAGAATGGAAAAAAAAGCTGAAGTAAAAACTAAGTCAGTAAATGGAAGGAGGTTAAATAAATATCTTTTTCAGCAAGTGAAAAATGAGATATTGTATTAGCTGGAGGTAATTAAAACACCAAAAACTATATGGACGCACAAATAATTAGCTCTTACCATAAACAAAAAACTTTCCAGGCTGCACAATAATTTTCCATTTAGATTTAGTTTCTATACACACGACTAGAAAGGCAGCACAGCTTCCAAGATGCAAAGAAATTCAAGTTATGAACTGCCCTGCAAGGTCATCTGACCTAAACCTAATGGAGAGCTAAGTATTGAAGATCTGAAACAATCAATTCTGCATTGATGTCCTCAACAACAAACATCTCATTTCCATTATGAAAAACCTAATTCATGAATATTAAAAAATAGAAGTCACTCATTATTAGTCATAAGATTGAGCATTTTAAGCACACTTCACTATATATTTTACAACTTATTTCATTTTTTTTATTTCAAACTCCAAAAAATTTAGGTATTTAACTATTAATTAAAAAGTTTTTAAAATGTCTTTTTAAAATTAAAAAGTTTTTTAAATGTTTTAAATTAAAAGTTTTTAAGCGGCTGAAAGCGGTTAGCACTTGTTTACGTTCATGTATCAATTGGTTAACATTGTAACGCAACGTGTTAAAAATAAATACAAATAGGAAGTATATAAAAAATATCCCAAATAAAAACCTGTTACATGTATGTTTAAAGATAAAAGTATTGCATAGAAGCTCGTGCAAAACATGCAATTATTAAAATACTACTATGCGTGTAATAATTTGGTCTAATTATTATAATATACTAATATAATACCTGGTATAATAGTTATTCTATATTTATATAAAATATTGTCGAATTTATATCATATATTGCCTAATTTAACCAAATGATCCATGAACATAAACAAGTGCAAGCCGGTTTCTGTCCTGTAGAAACAATAAAGCTGCATAGTATCATATAGTAGCTGTAGCGTTTTACATGGAATCATATAGTGCGTCTAATAATTCGCAGGGGTCTATCCAGACATTTTGTGAAAGGTCCGTTTTTCGTGAAATTGTGAAAAAATTACTCACATTCTTTCAACCAGGGTCCGCTTTTATAAATTTGAGCAAATAGGGTCCGTTAATGCAAAAAAAAATTTTTCAAGGAGTTTTTTTAATTGTAAAGACATACAATATTATGCTCAACACTGTAAAATTATAATTAAAAAAATTAAATTTCAAAAAATAAACAACAATTGCTGCTTCTAAATTAGAGATGCAACATACAAATATTTGGTATTTAGCCTATACTGCTGAACGCAGAATATTAATTTCGGACGAATAATGGAAGAATCGTCTGCCGAAGACAAAACTTAATTCGTTTACATCCATCTTTCTTGTTTTCTGCCCTGGAAAGGGTTTATTCGATTAACAAAATAATAATGAAGATAAACAAATTTGTGAAGGGTCCGATTAAAAGAAAAATCATTTTGTGAAGGGTCCGTTTTTAAGTTAAAATATTTTGTGAAGGGTCCGTTTTTATGAAAAGATATTTTGTGAAAGGTCCGTTAACGGACGCAAATTTCTTCTAAAGAGACCCCTGAATTGGCCAGGGACTGTATGCCTTAAAGTTCTGGAATGCAGTGTAAGAGCATAAAGAAGTAAAATGAGCTGTAACAGTTATTATAATCATGTGTATGTCATAACAAATCAAACTAAACGATAAAAGTGTACATTTATTGCTTTTAACAGCCCTAGTATGGTAATAACAAAGGTAAAATATTTTTTAATGAACAAATAAAATAGTCATTCTTACAAGAATAGAGTACTACAGTATGTTTTCTTTTTAAATATACAATTTATCTTGATGAACAATTTTCAACAACATTCTAATGTTTTTACATCAAATTAATATAAATAGATAAAAAGCTTTTGCTCACAAGTCACAGGCTTAGCACAACTCTTTACTAAATTATCAATAAAAAAAGAGAAAATAAGTCAAAAGCTATGACATAAATATAAGAGTAAATCCTTAATTTATTGGGGGGAAAGAGTTTCACTAACATAAAGCATAAAATATAATAAATAGAGCCATTGCAAACATATACTAAATTACAGCATAAAATGAAAAACGCATTATAAAATTTATATTGTACAATACACAAACAAAATCACTTGGATTGACAAAGTATAACGTTCAGCATCTTGCAAGCAATTGTAATTTCTTTTCACAAATATATCATTTTTTTCCTATTTACAAGCATTTTAACTGTAATGGCACTGCCAAGCTAAACATAGCTCTTGTCAACAAATGGCACACTTCACAAATATCACACATAATACTTGTAAAAATATTTCTGTAGAATTTCAAATCTAACAATACCAGTTTGAATTAAAACAATTGGAATTTGGAAAATACTACTTTCAGATTATAAAAGCATCATGGATAATAAGACAATTTCTTATCACTTGGCTTATCTAATAAGAATAGATCACTAAGCAATAAGAATTGCCAAATTATTTTTAGTTACAATTCTTTTAAAAAAAAACATGCATGTAAACGATGCTTAATAGTTGGCACTTTTCCAAACATGAGACACAACACTGAGTGCAGCCAATTGTTCTTCTCCTAAATTGATTTTTTCATCGATTTCTCGAATGTCAATCAGAAATTTTGTTTTCATTTTTATAAAATTTTCATATTTTGCATATTCTTCATCTGTAAAGTATTTGAGAAGGAATATGGAAACTTGTTTACTTCTTTTGTCAATACTTTCTTTCAGCCTACAAGCATCTTCATACTGTTCTTTCAGTTTATTTCTTTTGGATTCAAAAGTTTTCTAGAAGGAAAAACATTTAATAAATAATCTAAATAAATTATTTATAATATGAATATAATCATACTTTTTTCATTTTAAGAGGTTTTTTTTCCTTCTCACCAAACATAATTGTCAAAACAAAGTAGATAGAAAGAACTAATTCAAAATATGACTTTAAATATTTCACAAATAAACAAAAATTCAAAGTAAGGCCATACCTTTCAAAATGTCTAAAATATATAACAGGGTGCATAATGAGATTTTCAACAAAAATAAGCATCTTTTAAGTGCTTTTTTAGCACTCAAAAAATATTTTTAATCACTTTCCAAAAAAAAAAAATCATAATTAGGATCTGTGCAGTAATAAGAAATGTTTTCTATCGTTTAAAGTTCTTAATTTGTAAGCAGAAAATTAATAAAATTCAAAAACATTTTCACAAACTTCACACAATTATGATAAAATAACTAGTTTCTGATAAATATTGCAGAGAAAATTGTGAAAATCATGCATTTTTTGTAATTTAGAAGGACAATCGACACAGCAAAGAAAAAATCTCTTTTTATTTTGTAAATTTAAACACTTTACACAAACCCCCAAATAAAAAAAAAGTATCTTTAAGGGCTTTTAAAAAATTTAAATAAAAAATAAGCATCTTTATGCACTTTCTAATAATGCTAGACACCCTGTATAAGAGCTACCTTTTTAGAAAGAGAGAAATATAGCAGGAATTATTTTAGAATTCAAAACTTCACCAACTTTGCATAATTTTTTTTAAGGTCAAATTTTAAATATTTGGGAATCATTTTACTGTCAATTTATTGTTGTTACTCTTTAACTCCATGTTATCTAAGCGTATCTCAATTAGTATGACATAACCTCTATTAAATAATAACTCTGTTTTTGCCCTCCCCCCATTTGTCTTACTGATAAATGTGTAACATGTTTAAGTTTGAATAAATTTTACTATTCAAAGTTTTAAACGTCATATTTTCTCTAAACTAACTTTCTGAAAACACCTAACAATAACAATATTGGTAAAATTTTATAAAAATAAAAAAGAATCATTTTTTTTAAAAATAATGGTTGTTATATTTTACATATTCTGACAAGGCAGCAAGCTTAAATTTTACATGTCTTGAAAGATACTGGTTTAGTAAATATGAATATCAATTTATTTGAGAAAATTAAAAACATATTTAATATTTTCCCATCTATCAGATGGTTGACTTTCAGTAGGTTTCTATTTATTTAATAAATTTTTCAATTAGGGGAAAATTCTTGAGAGTGTAGTTTCTGATAGATTGGGTTAACCAAACATGTTTTCAAATGACATTTAAAAGAACATTAAAACTGGCTGAAAAAAACAAAGCATTTTATCACTATGCACTTGAAAAAAGTCAAATTTTATTTTATCCTATTTTATAAAAAATAGAAATGAATCGGTTAAAAACTTCTTGTCCATAATGACTAAGACATAGGAACTTCTTATATTTTTAGTTATGTCCCACAAGAAAGTATTCTGTGCACTTAAAAACTTTATTCTCTTTTAATATGATAATCCATTGATAGAGAGTGCTGATCATATTTTAAAAATTTGTAGCTAGATTAAGCGTTGGATAAGGATTAAACATATCTCCTATTTACTGAGGTACAAACAATTACCATTTATTTAAAAGCCACTGGGTTAACCATATAATGAATCTCAGTTACTTAATTGGTTATTCAAGCAAGGACGTCAAGCAATTTGATTAAAATTATTAAAATCAGTGATTTATAATGCCAAAATTAAAAATAAATATATTAAGATGACAATTTAACACTTTAACAATGATGACACTTAAATAGAGATTTTAAGTATAGAGAGCAAAGATTATGGTCTTTCAAAAGTAATAAAATGACTAAAAAACTTTAACTAGCTTAAATAAAGTTATCAAAAATACAGATAATAAATAAATGAAAGAAAAAAAACTTAAATCATTTTAAAGCAGTTTCATAAGTGAAAAAAATGTTTAATTGACAGGTATAGGATGTCCTTTTTTTTTAATCTTACATTCAATGTCAAAAGCATTTACATAAAAGAGGGATTTTGCTTAGCAATATGCAGTAAATTCCCAATATTCCACTCAATTTATTGATGACCTAGATCTAAAAAAAACTTTGTCGACCGAAAATTATACTTTAAATGCAATATTTAACTACAACTAGTATTTTGTCCAGAAGAAATTTTTGTTTTAATAGGATAATTTCTCCGAATAGTTTATAGCACTATACTTTGCTCAGTTGCAATTATGTCTCAAGATGCATAATCTGTGAAAATTTCTCCCATAAAATTTTGACAAGAATATTATCCCTATTTTCCTAATCTTCCAACATTTTTAGTCATAAAAAAGGTGCTAAAAAGCTGCCAATTATAAAAGTATAAAACTATAATTATATTTAACTATTTTGCAGATTATGTCTGGAATTTGTTTACCTGGAATTGTTCTATCGTCTAGATTGGCAGAAATGTGGATGTTAACTGTACAGTCAGCGAAAAATAAAAATGATCACCTTAATAACCTTTGAATAGTTGGTAAGATTTTCAATTTGTAATGTGTTATTAAATTTTTAACTTGTAATGTGTGTGTGTACCAATAAAACAGTATAACAACTATGTTTTATTTAAAACATGAGAAATACAAATTGACAAACTCACAACATGAATGTTTGAGAAGAAGTGAGACAGAAAATCAAATGTAGTTGCAATAGAATTATAAACGCAAAAATTAAGGTGCCCCCATGTGTCAGTTTGAACATTCTCTTATTGAATCAAGAATTCATTCTCTATTCACAGGTAACAACTCAACTAATTTAACTATTGATCGCTTGTTAAGTCCTTTTGCAGTTTTCACTGTAACAATTCAAACAATATCATCCTACCTAGATATACTTCAATCATTTTCCCTATATGTTAAGTAGCAGGTGGAAGAATGTCCTTTTTTAGTATATATATATTAAAGAATGATTTTTTTTAATCATAGTAAAGTATTGAAAAAGGAGAGAAACTTAAAACTTCCGATGCTCTCTTCTGTCAATGAAAATTTTGCACGGGGGAAAAAAGAACCTATTTCTAAAAGCTATAAGTATGATCTTTCAAATTGTCCCAATAGCTTTGCTAGAGACCGGGATAGCCTGGTTGGTAGGACACTGAGCCCATGTCCAGAACTTCTTGGGTTTGATCCCCGCAGGTCAAAAACTCCCCCTATAGTAAATGGTGCCTTATGTATGCTAAATCTTGCGAGTCACATGGTAGTCCTCCATGTTTCCATAACAAATCATACCTCTGTAGGTACTGATCCAGGAGTTTCCTTGTCTTCCGGATTGGTTCAAAATTACAAGGCTACAAAGTTGAACATTAGTAGTCATAAACCCAAAATTGGGTCTGTTGTTCAACGACAGACATAAAATAAAAATAGCTTTGCTTATGTTTAATCTTCCATAATATTTACTGCTAAAAAAAATTGTTTACATAGAGTTAGCATAGAAATATTTCATACTTTTGTCTAACCCCAGTACAATCACTGTACCTTTTAACAGTTTTACCTGGTCTAGGTTCTAAAAACAGAATATTCTAAAATTTAAAAGCAATAGTACTATTGGTATAATAATAGCTTTTAATAAATCTAATGAAGAGGATTGGAAGTACATTTCAAGACAAGTAATTGAAAGAAGAGGAAAAGTATCAAATTAAAAAAAAAATATGACTACCTGTTTTCCATCTACAAAATTTTTAAAAATATGGGCATTTCTTAATTTGAAATGATGCATAATACGATGTATCTTTTAATTTAGATTTTAAGCACTCTTTTATTGATCAAATGGCATGAAAATCTAGATTTAGGTTTAAAAAAATCCGAAAACTTTAAATAGATAAAAAATCTCATAAGTTATGGTTCAAAATTTTTTCATCGTTAACAAATTAATTAATCTTAATTCCCCATTATATTAAGTATTTATTTTCGGGTCAAGTACTCACAACTTTATGCAAAAGAATCAAAATTTTTTAACCAATCATTCAAAAGATATGAAAAGAAAGCGACAAATTAAAAAACATTAGAGTAAACTCGAATTTGATGGGGAAAAAGATAGAAAAAGTGTGTTTTTAAGTCAAGTTAAGCATATTCTGCCAGCGTTAAAGTTAACTATTACTTATATTTAAGAGATTTATTTGAGATATTACTAAAACACTTTAGAGAAAGAATATCTGACTAACCTTTCAAAAGTTATAAGATTCTTTTTTTTTTCTTACTGAATGTGCACAAAAATGTCAAAAGGAAAACATTACTTATATTATGAGTTAAGGAAGATATTGTTTGGTATTATTTTACTAATTAAATATTAGATTTCTTTTCAATTTGTAAAGGCTTTAACTCAATTAGTACAGAAAGGACAAAGAAACTGGAAAGTAATTATCTTCATTTTTCTAAAATTGAATCAATCATGAATTACATAAATATCAAAATATACTCTTACACTTGTCAAAATATGTCTTAAAATACTCTATTATAGCGTCATTTACAAATGATGTCAAGCTTGAAAGAGGAGAAACAGTTTTATAACCTAACACTGTGACAACACACAGATTAATTAATATAAAGATTTATTATTAGTAGATTAAATATTTTACATTACAGTAATTTCCGGTAAATAGGCCGCACAGTCGTACTGGCCGCACCCGCAAAAAACATCGCTAAAAATTTCAATTTTCATCTTACTGGCCGCACCTTCATAAAGTCTGCACTTTCGTTTTTTCGATCGACCATCAATTTTTTTTCAAATATCACATGCGTAAAAATACACATAAAAAATAATAATCTTTAAAACATAAACTCTATACTTAGAAAAAAATTATTGATAAATATTTTTTTTTTTATGTATATTTATCATAAAAAGAAAGAATTGAGAATGATACTTACTTACAGAAGAAACATGTATAACCAATTAAAATCATAAGGTGAGGATGTGTATGCGATAAAAAATTAACTAATCACAAAAGAAATCAGCATTTATTTATTTATACTTCTCAAATATTTTTGAGCAAATATCTATTCAAAACCATCGAAATCTGATTCATCACCGCCCGATATTCGGCACTTAATCTGATCTTTTTTTTTTCTTGGAAGAAATTTTTATTAATAAGAGAAAAAAAATCGGTAAAATTCCCTTTTTATTTGAATTTTATTCTATTGAAGTAAGTAACTTTATTTTATCTTTTAAAAGTAAAAAAAAAAAAAAAAAAAAAAAAAAAAAATCTGTGTCAAAGGAAACATCTGTTTCTTAAGCAGTTTAAAATAAATTGAGAAGTAAAAACATCTGCATTTCCAATGAACAAAATAAAGAAATGCAAGTTGGAAGAAACTGATCAATCAATCTTGACAGCTGTGCAATTGCTCTACTCATTTGTCCCCACATTTCCCCCTTCAGTTTGACCATAAATTAGCCACACCCTTTTGAAATTGAAACTACCAAGTGGGATGGATACAAAATGAATTCTATCCCTTTTGAGGCTTTTTTTATTTGATGTAAATCAATCTCTTTTGTTTTTTTTATTAGTTATTAACTGCTATTTTTTTGTTAATTGATAGCTATTTTTTTTAAAAATCGTATTTAGTTGTTAGCTTGTTTTTCTTTTATCATTATTAGTTGTTAGCTTATAAAAAGTATATATTGTTATTTCTATAATATAGATAATTATTTTAATTAATGAATTTTCTTAAGATGGGACATTTTTAAATTCACCCCATCATAATCTACGATCAAAACTTCACTAAATTTATTGTAATTAATTAATTTTCGGAAATTAACAGTATAATTGAATTATCGTAATATATGGGCGCCATATTGGAATTTCCGAAAGAGATCCAAAATTCGGCAATTTCGTTCGTCAAATTCATTTAAAAAAAGAAAGAAAAACGTTTTCAGAGTAAAAATTATGAATTAGGTTCGTTATTATGGAAAATTTTCGGTAAACATCTGTTTTTGAATAAATCCACCATGATCAAAAAATTCTCACGTGTGGCTTGGGATAAACAAATTCTATGTATAGGCCGCATTGTGACAGCCCAACTTTTAAACACGTAAAGGCCGCGGCCTACTTACCGGAAATTACTGTACTTGTTTCTTTTACTTTATTAAATTCACATCTTACAACTATTAATATACTAGCAAATGACATTAAAACACATATTTTGAAGTTTAAAAATAAAATTTGAAACCATCATCTCTATATTTTTTTTAAATTGTTATTATATTTTGCTGTGATACATAGTGACAAAGGGGAGGATGGTGGGCCAAAAATATAGAAAAAAGTGTGGCATCATTTGAAGGCGGCACCTATGTATTTAATAACTTAGTAAAATATAATTTTTCTTAATAACTAAAGTTGCAAAGACATGCAATTTTAATTTTTTTTTTTAAAAACCGAATTTCCTTTTATTCTGAGTAAAATGAGGTAAGATCAATTACTTAAATTGATAAAAAATGAAAATCAGCAGTAACAAAATTCTTGCCGATCAGGAATACATCTTACCTTTTCATCTTCACTGCATTCATTTGAGAAATTCTTCAAAACATTTTCAGCTTTCATTAATCGTCCAGAAATGGACAACAATAAATTGACTATTTTTTCAAGTTCTTCAATATGGAGGAAATACTTTTCTGATTCATGAGATTTAGCCAATTCTTTTAGACGATCAGATATTTCTAATCCAATTTGATTATTTTTAAGTAATTGCAGTCGAATAGTATTCTGTTCTTCTCTCAGAATATCAAGTTTCTTTTTGATGCTAATTATCAACTCTTCCTACAAAAAAAAAATATATATATAAATAAATAAACTATTTTCAATTTCAGCAAAGGTAAAAATAAGGTTTTTTTGTCAAAAAATAAATATTAAAAAAAATTATTCGTAAAAGAACACACAAGGTTCCAAATATCGAAAAATTAAATGCACAAATTAAGAAAATAAAATGTACCTAAAATTCATATTAGCTGAGTGCTCATTAATAATAGGAGAGTAAAATTTGTAATTGCATTATCTTTAAAACATGCTTCATTATAGGTTACCATAAATAACCAAAGTCCACTTTTATTTGTAATGTCTAGTAGAAATGTGTCATTTTTATAATCTCTAATTCTGTGTTATAACAATTCATTGCTGATTATTACTACGGAAGTTAGGAAAGTTAAAAATTAAAATTTTTTAACATAATAAAAAATTTAATTCTTACTGCGACTTTGAATTAGACTTGTTCTTACTCTACTTAAAACAGTAAGTAACTAAAATACATATAGAATAAAACAAGATTGGGGTCGAGATTGTCATTCTCTGTGAAATAAATTTATTTCTTTATTTATTAAAATAATCTGACCAAGTTCATTATATTAAGATCCATATCTAAATAAGCAAAAGACAAAAAAAAGTAAAAAACAAAATAATTTTGACAGTCAAATGGCTGCCCCTGTGGCAGAATTTTTTTGAGCTATCTGCGACAAAACTCTCTAGCACTAATGTCTTTCTGTAAGATACTTTTAATAATAACAAACATATATATTGTTAATTTAAAATAACAAAAGCGGTGCATTTACAAAAGGGGAAAAAAACTACATATATATTTTTTTAACTGAACATATAATAATTTTTTATTATGGGAGATATTCTTGCATTTTGTTGGAGAGGGAACGCACAAATTATTTCCTTCTTCCCATTTCATAAATAATCTTCACAATAAAAAAAATTTCAAAATCATGAAGTCCATTGTAGTAATTGCCGAAAAAAAGACTCCTCATATGCATGTTTGGTTTTGAGATTAGGTTGTTGTAATAAATAATATCGCATAAAAAATATTGGATTTAAAAACTGTGGAGAAATCAATAGCAATTACAGGCAAAAATTTGATAGAATTATTGCTTTAAAATGTAAATACTCAAATGCATGATTTGAATTTTGTATATTGTTTGAAATATATCAGGATACTTAAAAACCACATGAAAATCAATATCGCAGGGATGCTACTCGCAAAATATCAAATTGTCTCACCAGAAATTGCATTTCGTCTCAGTTAAAATCTCTTTTTGGCTCAGTTTGTCTCAGCTAAAATTATTTTTTCACTCAGTTTATCTCAGCTAAAATGATTATTAATCAGTTTGATAACAATAAAAAAAAATTTACAGGATCCATAAAACCATTAATAGCATACTAGGAGTACTACAATTATACATACATTCACTATTGCTAGGATTTTAAAAAACCTGCATATGATTGATTATAAGAGTCCACAAAATTGGTTTATGGACTCTGTTGTTTTCATATATATTGCATTTATCATTTATGCCAATATATAGTATCTGCTCCAGAATTTTACAAAGTAAATTTTAACTTTCTTATTTTTTAAAATATAATGGTGTTAACTTTCTAAAAAGAAATATCTATTTAGTTTCAGTAATTCAAAAGGGAAAATACCCATTTTATTTTGAGCTCAAATTTCATCTCAAAATATATAACTATTCAGTTACAATGGAAGGTCTACAGATTTCAATAATTAAAAGAGAAATTCAGTAATTAAATAATGAGAGTTTAAGAAAATGCAAATAACACAAAAAAAAACCCTTTGATAGAATTCAGGAGGTGCAGTGAAATTTTGAAATATTTTAGGTAGGAATTTTTCAAGAAAATTTTAGGGAGCACTTAATAGCCAAAAATTAGCATATATACATTTTTATATCAAAACAGAAATATTTAAAAACTATTATAAACAATTTAAAAAGACACATATAAATATAATTTTCTTTCTAAAATGACTTGCATCCTTTATTAAGTATAAAAGTAAACTTTTTAGTTAATTGGCATTGACTAGTAGATTGTACTTTCTTGCATTCACAAGATTAGTTAGTTGACTATGTTCTTTTAATTTGTATAGCTAAATATACAATCATAAAATGTGATTATGAATGCACTTAGTAATTGTTTAAATGCAACAACTGTAGAAAAATATATCACATCTTTACAGTAACTAATTCAAGAAAAAACTTAATTCTACTTCTTTCTAGAATCGTGAAACTGGATTTTAAAATTGCGTGAATATGAATTGCGATTTTGGGTTTTAAAATCGCGTGAATATGAATCGCGATATTGAATTACAAAATCGTGTGAATATGAATCACGATATTGGATTTTAAAATAGCGTGAATATGAATCGCGATTTTGGATTTTAAAATCGCGTGAATATGAATCGCGATATTGGATTTCAAAATCGTGTGAATATGAATCACGATATTGGATTTTAAAATAGCGTGAATATGAATCGCGATTTTGGATTTTAAAATCGCGTGAATATGAATCGCGATATTGGATTTCAAAATCGCGTGAATATGAATCACGATATTGGATTTTAAAATCGAGTGAACATGAATCGCGATTTTTGATTTTAAAATCAAGTGAATATGAATCACGATATCGGATTTTAAAATCACGTGAATATGAATCGTGCGGTTGGATTTTAAAATCGCGTGAATATGAATCGCGATTTTGGATTATAAAATCATGTGAATATGAATCACGCTGTTGGATTTTAAAAACACGAAAATACAAATCACGATATTGGATTTTAAAATCGCGTGAATATGAATCACGATTTTGGATTATAAAATCACGTGAATATGAATCGCGCAGCTGGATTTAAAAAACACAAATCACGATATTGGATTTTAAAATCGCGTCAATATGAATCACTATTTCGGATTTTAAAATCGCGTGAATATGAATCACGATTTTGAATTTTAAAATCACGTGAATAAGAATAGCGCTGTTGGATTTTAAAAACGCGAAAATACAAATAGCGATATTGAATTTTTAAATCGCGTAAATAAGAATCACGATGAATAATTTTTAGATCACGTGAATACGAATCGCAATGAGTAATTTTTAAATAGCGTACAAATACGAAAAACGAGATCTGATATTACAACTGCGTGATAACGAATCGCAATATTGGATTTAAAAATGCGTGAATACGAATCGCGACGTTGGATTTTAAACTCGCGAGAATACAGATCGCGATATTGAATTTTTAAATTGAGTGAATAGGAATTGCTAGTACGATTTTTAAACAGCGTAAAAAAAATCGCAACACATAAGTTTTAAATCAGTTAAATACGAAAATCGATGATTGATATTAAAATCGTCTGATTAAAAATCGCGATTTTAGCATATTCCAGCGCAGTTCCTAATATTTAAAATTCCGAAAATCAGCCAAACGAAAAAAAAAATCATATATCGGTGGTCGAAACGAAACACTTAGACTCCTTTCCACTCTATAGCGGAAGTCGCGGGAATCCGACTATCGTTCCGGCGGCTTGGGTTTCTCTAATTGGACTCCCTAAAAATTTTAGTTTTCTGAACATGGTCGAAAATTTTAAAAATTGGGAGAAAAAAGCGGATTTCGCTTTTTCGCGGAAGTCTTTCATCCCGTGGAGACGTGAACGGCAAAATGCTCTCCAATGACTCACTGCGATGCGGATTAATATTTGAAACTGAATTCAGGTTTGTCAAATTTTGAACGTTTTGTTTCAGAATGGCGCAGGTTTGGCAGAAACTGAGCTGAATTTTGCAAAATGGCGCAGTTATGCCGTTTTGTCTCAGTTTGTCGCAAATGGTGCAGGCGTAGCATCCCTGCCATATCCATGAGGAAGGTCATCGTATTTCACGTGAAAAAGCAAGGGTTTTTGGGTCCCATAATTTAAGATTCTTAGTTTTTATTAATAAAAAAATAATAACTTAGTCGAATTCACACATTCTAAAATTTTACATGTAGTTAAAATACTGTATTAAAATCAACGAGATATTAAAAGCCATGCTGAAAACAGTAGTAATAATAGCCGAAAAAGCTATGTATAAACTCACATGAATTTCATGACATTGTTGCAAATTTTGTGTATCAAAAATAAATTACTCAAATGCACGTTTTCAAATTTGTTGGAGATATCATATTTAAAATAGCGAATGGCCTTGAACCATATGTTAAGCATTCCATTTCATTGATGCTGTTACAAGTGATTGCGCAGGTTATGCAGTGAACTTTACTATCTGCATTTGAATACGAGCAACTGATATGAATCACTATGCTTTGTTAATGTGTTTATCTTACTATGTTTATCTTCATTATTCCACCAAGACAATTTAAATGTATAGCCTGCTATTAATCAATTACTGTAATCAGCAACCAAATCTGTTTTACAGACTGAGCATTATTAAAAAACTTAATTTTATATAACCATAGATTAAAGATGAGCAGAAAGAAAAGACTCAATTGAGCCAGTCTCGTTAAAGTTAATAGATGCATTCAGAATGGCCCTCAACACTATTTACTTACTTTTGTACAAGTACCAAACGTCAGGAACTATTTCCTGCAGTATTACAGAAATAAATTGATTCTTACTTTTGGAACATCATTTTTGATTCCCATTTCTTCAGAAATATGTGTATCTTTCAGTATATTTTCTTCCCTATAAAAATAGCATAGAATAAAAATATTGAACTTAAAAGTCTGTTGTTATTTTGGATTTGGTTGGTTTTGCCAGAAACCAAAACTTAAAATTTGTTCATTTAATGTAAATACTAGGTTTTAAAGAATAAAAGTAGACAAAAATTTTTAGTTTGAACAAATTGCATTGAAGAAAAATAGCTTAGGCAAACTTTGAAATCATTTTTATGTAAAAATAAGTGACTTGAAAAAAGTGATCATCGAAAAAAAATTCTGAAAAACACAACTAAAAATTTTCATTTTAAAGTAGACGCAGAAATGGAATTAATTAGATATATTATACAGGCTGAATAGAGGGCCAAAGGAAAAATCAGGACAGAATTTTTCAAATAAGGACAAAATCAGGACACTTTTTTGGAACAGTATACATATATCAGACTACCTTTTAAAAAAAAATAAACTAAAAGAATATAATTTGCTCTACTTAAGTGTAATAAAAGCAAATTTATCACAAAAGAAAAATAAAATATACTGTTTTCAATTTCAGAATTGCTTTGTTTAAGAAAAAGCCATTTCCAGCATAATTCTATCACTACTGAACAACTCATAATAATTTATTATCAATGCATGGAAAATTATTATATGAAGAATATTATATAAATATATTATAGAATATTATATAAATTATTATATAAATACTATAAGATTAAAAAAAAATAACCAGTATGAATAAGATTTGATTCCCTTATACCAATATCTAATTAAAGATTGAGTTAAAAAACTTCCTTAATCAAATACAGTGGAGCATCGTTTATACGACGCCGAAGGGACCACAGAAAAACGTCATATAAACGATAACGTCGTATAATCGATTTTTACTTCTAAAACTGATTTTCAGTTAATTTTAATGTTTAGCGTGTTGATTTGCATAAATTTCTAAATTAGACGAAGCAAAACAAACCAAAGAAGAAAAATTGCAGTGAGCAATTTGAATGTATGTTACTTTTAATTATATTTTCTTGCTATTAGTCTCTACAATGCAATGCTTTGAATAGCGAGTTGAACTTACTGCTTTCTATGATGAAATTTTAGATTCTTAATCACGGCCAAATCTAATGGCTGAAGCACACTTGTGCAATTTGCAGGAAAAAAGAGAGCTTTTACATTTTCCAAAATAATTAGTATCGATGGGTGGGCTGGATATTGGTCGATGAATAGCAAAATTTTTATTTTTTTCCCTCTTCATAACATTGTCAAGTTTTTTCAGTCATCTAGTAAAAATTACGGTCGTCATCCAAGCATTATTGTTGGCACCCTTTTCTGTATCACTCATGTTGGCAAATTCCGCCCTTTTTTAAAATACACAAGAAAAAAGAAAAAATTAAGTAAATGTGAACAAAATCTAAAACCGACGTATAACCGATTTTGTGCGTCGTATAAACGATATATTTTTACATTAAAATGAATAGGAATGATTTGGGACCACACTAAAACGTCGTATAAATGTAAACATCGTATAAGTGATCGTCGTATAAACGATGCTCCACTGTAATTTTAAAATTTGGTTTGAATAAACTTGAAATGAAAACACAGTAAATATGTCATTTAGCTTTTTTGAATAAAATTAATTTTAGCAGACGATCCCTTAATTTAACATTTTAAAAATTTATGATATGAGTCCTCCATTGTTAATAATCAAACATTTTTAAAATCACATAAAAAAGATGAATCAAAAATTGAGAAATTAAAGTCTACTCTACAAGATTTGTTACTGCAGTTAGTTAAAATATTAAATGTATGACCCCTTAATTCAAAACTATATAAATTTAATAATATAACATTCATTATTAAGTTTCTTTTTGGGAAAATGACTGAATTTCCAAAAAGGATCAAACAATGAATCCTGCGGATAAGAATATTTGCCTGAATCACGCATATAATTAGTAGACAACCACTAAATTGGAACTATTAAATTTTGCGATTTCTACTAAAATTAAAAGATACCGGATCAACAATCCAAAACTTTTTAATACCATAAAACTATTTTTAAAAAACTGCATTTGTGCTAAGGATGTATTGAAGTGATTTGTGTGAATAACCTAATATTCGGCTAAGTTCCAAATATTCAGTACCTGAATGGCAACATTTTTTTAATATATAAAATTAATTTAGTCATTATCGAAAATCAATCAGAAATTCACTATATTATTGGTATGAAGTAAAGAGAAAAAAATTATAATAAATATTCATAAGAAATATTTAAGATAAATAACAAAATAATTTACAACTATAAAAAAAATCTGAAGTTGAAAGAAAAAAATCCTCCTAATTCTTAAAAAAAACTTTAATACTAAAAATAATATTACTAGGAAAAAATTTAACCATAAAACGTTAAAAGAAATATAGTTATCAAAAATGCTTTTAAAAATAGTACAAGACTAGTGGTTGAGTATAAAGTGATCTAGTTTCAATTCTTAAAATTTCGCTTTTTCAACGGTCTTCCAGAATATAAATTTGCAAGCTGTGTGCAATAGAATTTAATAAATGTCCAAAAACTATTTTGAATGATAATGATGAATTTCTTGCGATATTCTACATTTCTTCAAGTGCGCATTACAGCTGTACCATAGTAAAAATTATGATTTTAAATTATTGTTTATCAAATCTATTTAAAAAAAACTACAAAAAAATACTTTGACGAATATTTTGGGCGAACATTCGGCAAATCGAATATTCGTCAAAAGAGCTGAATATTTGTTACTTCCCTAATTTGTGTTCCTGGTGAATTCCATGATTACTCTTATTACATGCATTGTAATATTGCACAACAATCCGATTTCTCACATATGAGTTTTTTTTAATTTTAAATTGAACAATTTTTTATACAGAATAAAAAAGGAGAATGTCTACTTGCTATATATATGCAAGAAAAACTTTAAAACTTTTAAATAGTTTTATAAAAAGGTGAATTTAAAATAAGGGACCTGAAAAAGATATAAGGCATTTACAGATTTGCATTAATGATTATATTATCTATACTATATAATAAAATCTTATCAAGAAAAGGTCAAATTATTAAATGACAGCAACAAAAAGTTTTTAAATACAAGCACATTAACCTATTAATTATCAGAAAAATTTCTAGTCATCCTGGTTAAAAGAAATCTGTTACTTTTATTACATTTCCTATAGAAGATTTGATGAGAAACATACAAAGCATATGACGATTAAGTTTATATTGTTGTATTCATTTAATTTCTTTAAAGCAAAAATGATTTGTTGAATTAACAACTGAAAGAAAATTAAACTTTTTACAATTTTATTTATTTTTATAAAATATCCTGTATCGATTTTTTGACCATTTTCACTTTTCGCCTGCAGGAATCATTACATTCAAGCAGTTATTAAATTTCAAAAATTTTGTTTAAAATGTGTTTTTTTCAGGAATAATTCAACAGATTTTGTATTTTGCAGCAGCACATCAATTTGAATATTTCTAACTTAAAAAAAAATATTTCTTGGTAAGGATAAACTTAAATAAGTATTTTTGTTACTCTTGTTACATTTCAAAGAACAATTAAATTGACCATTTTTATCACAGTAGTACATATTACATTTCTATCATTTTTATATGTTAAACTAAAAAAGAAATACTTACTAATATTATAAAAAATTATACTTTAACAAAGCAAACAAAATTATTATACAAATTAATATTTTGAAACTGGGATTGAATTTCATGAATTTTTGGTATAAAAAATATATACAAATGTTATTTTCTAAACTATACCAAAAATGAAAAAAAAAATTTACTGAGAATATGAAAAAATCTTCCATTTTAGCTTTCTTTGTACTTTTAATTTTAAAATTTTAATTTAAAACTTTTAATTTTAAATAACTCAATTTAATTTGCAGAAAATAACAAAATTAGGACCTAAGCATTCAAAAAGCAAAACATGTTTCATGAATATCATAAAGAAATTACAAAGTAATAATAACAATATACCTTTGATTGTTTACAGACATTGGTGAACTCAGATCATTAGGCTTATTCTTTTTTTCAAGTAATAAATTTAACACACTTTCCATATAGTCTGGCAATGTTTTGTGATTTGGAGCTGGAACTGTAACAAAAATAAAGTAAAGGCACAGATTAAGGTCAGCTAACACAAATAAAAATCACAAAACTTTTTAAAAAAAATTTATTTCTAGAATAAAGTATTATATTTTATATTGATTATAAGGAATAGGGGATCAAATTTTATAATTTTTTTCTTGTGTAAATATACCATTGAGTTATTAAACTCAGTTACTTGTTGAAACAATTTATTTATATAGAGAGAATATTTAAAATCTAAAAAAACATGTTTAAAACTGATATCAAAAAATTAAGAACTTAAATATATAATTTTCAATAAACATACAATTTTTAAAAACCTATTTATATTAACCAATTTCTTGAGAATTACCACACATTTTTAAATATAAGCTAATTAGTGTGTAAGCTAAAGAGTACACTTTTCATTTGGAAATAAGAATGTGCTCTCGTTTCCGCAAGCATTTCAGAGCAATGCGGATTGACATCACATCATCAGCCCAATTTGTCTTTGTCCTCCCGGCTTTTCACTTTTCATCAAAGATTGTTGTCAGTAGCAGCTCAACTTGGTGGAAAGTCAAAGCAAAGCAATACGGCAATAGCAATCCAAACTTCATGTGGCACTTTTTCTCTCCATTTACATTTACAGCTCTTTGTAAAGAAAAATGAGCAGGAAAAAAATTCTCTTCATTTAGTTTTGAACTGCAAGCGATTGCTTTTGCAGAAATTAATTTTAATAATAGCATGGCATTTCTCTGAAAATGAGAATTAAGTTCGGAAATGGAGGAAAAAAAGTATTGACTTAGCAGAGATTCCAAAGTAGAACATTTTCATCATGGATTGAAAAATCTCAATCGAACATGTTGATTATAATTCATGCTGCCATTCACATCAGAGGGAGTAATTTAATTGAGCAACCAGAATTTACTTAGGACAAGCCAAAGGATATTGTTGCTTCTAAAGAGTAAATTAATTTATTAACTGGATTCAATTATTAACTGGAATTTATTAACTAAAAGTAATTGATTTATTTACTGGAACAATTTTTGCATTTGAGCACCCTCCAAGCTTGTACAAAAACTACATACTGAACGAGAAATCAAAACCTTCCAGACATAGATAATAAAGTTATAGCACAAATATTTTAAGTAAATTGACCTGGAAAACTGAGTAAAATTTTCTTCTTATTCAGTATGAACAATGTAAATAATAGACTAATTTTTATACACACAAAAAAAGAAAAAACACAAAACTTATCATACATAAGTTAACATATATTCTAATACTATGAGCAATATTCTCACATTTTAAAAAGGACATTCCTTTTCATTTTGCACTCTGCTATTTGCATTTGACTAAGGAAAAAAAAAACAGAAATTTCAAAAACCATGGAATTTAAAGCAATGACTAGCGAAAAGAAAACCATGTGATTTTACAATGGAATGATGCAAATTGAAAGAGTCAGAAAATAATTACACAATTGCATTATTTGAGATTCCTAGGTTGTTACAAATAATACTATAAAAAAAATTTCGGGATTTTAAAAACTATGTGCATATCAGCAGTAATCAGATGAAACGGCTTGTTTTAAAAAGTAAATAATAAAGCATTTGAATTACATGTCAAGTGTTGCAACATTATAATTGGAAAAAGATGAAAATATGCAGCAATAATTGCCAAAAAAATTCAAATTTCCAATGTCGTAATAATAATATGGTATTAAAGAATTGGGATGCCAAATCATCAGAAACTATGCACAAATCAATGATAATAACAGGAAGAAAAAAAGATTGAAACACCACATCAATTTGCAAGAAAATCTGGGCAAATAAAGTGTATCAAAAAGTGATGACTTAAATGTGCAAAAACAAAAGCCTAAAAAAATTTTCAAACTTTGTTTACTATGCATAAACAAAAAAACATGTGAATTTTACGAAGATTTTTTTTTTAAATAAAGTTTAAATTAAACAATAATGATGAGAAAAAGATAAACTGTTACAAAAATAATTGGCAGATAAAGGCAAGTACAAGTTTTAAAATTTGTTAGAAAAACAATAATGACTATTCCTTTATTCCATATATTTTTTTTTACTTACTGAATAAAGATTTGAATGTAATATCGCCATACTGATGAAAAATATCTCTGGCAATTTGTTCACAATTTAGTTTCTCTTGTGTCTTAACCAGTTTCTGATGTAATATGGGAAATTCATAAATTTGGCTACTGCTTATGTGATTTATAACATCATTTGAAGCTTTAAAATCATTTTCTTCTATATCATTACTAAGTAAGGAATTTTGATTGTAATCAACTATGGAATTACTTTCAATATTTTGAGAGTTACTATCGGTTAAAGTATTAGATGAGGCATCAGTCAAAATTGATTTACTTATTAAGTCATTAGAAAAATTAGATGATAAGCCAATTGAGCTATGCAAGTTTTGGTAAAAATCAGATGAAGTGTTCAGATTTTCTTGACTAGGAGCACAATATGGCACTGCTCGATGCAAAGAGTCTTGAGTAACTGATTGAATAATACTGTCGTCACTTGATATGTGATCTTGCCTTCTTGTATTTTGATAGTTGATACTTGCATTGTCTTTCTGCAGACAATTTGAATATTCTTGTTCCCAACTAGACAGAGACTGTTTTTCATCATCAACAGCAGATAAATCAACAGATGAAGACTGAAATGAACGTCGATAGTTTCCATCAAATCCTTGCCTAGAAAGCTTTTTTTCACTTCTGTATGACATGTATGAATTTTTGGGGTATATCCTGAAATGTAATAAAAGAAGATAGAATAATCTATTTGAATATATATTTAATTAAACAATAGTAATTTTATAATCATTTGTAAAATTGAGTTACAAGACAACATAGATAAGCAAAATCAGCAGATAATCTAAAATATTCAGAAAATCCGCTGTATTTGAAGAATATTTTTTCACTTTATGTATCATCTACAAAAAATATAAAAGAAAATCAAGGGGTATTTTAAATATAAAAAATTGAATCTTGCCAGACCAAATACAGAGTTGTTATTTACTTGCGAAAGAGAAAAAAACTGATAGTAAGAACAATTCATCTTTATTTTATTTGTGGACAAAATACTTCAATAAAATCTTAAAAGCATGAAAAATTAGGGCTATCCATAAATAATGAAAAGAACTATTTCATTATACAGTACAGAACCCGTTATCCGGAAATCAGAAAACTGGAAAACCAAAAAACCGGAACGAAATTCGATAAATTTTCCCGCCGTTTTTTAAAAAAATTTTTTTTTCCTCATAAGATTTTAGGATTTTTCTTCCTTTTTTGAAAGATGTTTACCTTACCATCGTTTTGGAAATAATCATTAGTGTATTACTTCATCGTTTTTTTTTTCTTTTTAAGATTATTTCCAAAAAAAAATTTTTTTTAATGGGTTTAACAATAAAAAAAACGGTTTTTTGTGGCGATTCAGAAAACCGGAAAAATCAGTTATCCGGAATAGCGATGGTCCCGATCTTTCCGGATAATCGGTTCCCTACTGTATTTATATTGAAAATTTGAAACCACAAACAATTTTTTTAAAAAAATTACAACATGGCTATCAAATAAACATGTTTTTTCATAGTCAAACTTTTCTTGTGTGCCAAAGTCACCACATATCCAACGCATTAAACATTTTACTTAAAAAAACCATTATAAATTTATTTTCTACATTAAAATACAATTTATTGTTACTACTTATAACTTTATATTTTCATGAGAGCGACTAAAAAAACCCAGTTACGCCTGATCACATTTTTCTATTTAGTATGTCAAAAAGATAGCAGTAATAACAGTACCATGCTGAAAAATTTAATCCCAGCCTTTGTGAGAACTAGTTCAACCAAACACTTTATTTTTTCTGTACTTAAAGAGAGATGGAATTTTTATTAGTGGAAAGTTACATTTACCATTATATACAATACGGAAAATACAAAAAGGGGTTTTCTGCAAATTTCATTTTATATTATTAAACAGTATTTATTAAAAATGAGACTGGGGGATCATCTCCCATAAAAGTATGTTTTCTTTGGAATGCTTTATTTCCTTATACCATCACATTTAGGTTTCTGGACTATTATTGAAGGTATTATAATTTGTTATTAAACTTTGTCCAATGATACAAAATAAAATTTGTGGAAAATCCCTGATCACTTTGAGCTTTCTTCTAAAAATTACAAAAACTACTTAGAAAATTGTGTGAAACTTTTTAAAGATATTCAAATCAAATTTTCATTCGTTGCTATATATGATTCACTACAAAATTACAACAAAAAAAAACATGTTTAAATTTTTTATGCACACGCACAGTATACCCCTAATAAGCCTATAATTATTTCCTCTGGTAGGGTACACTAGTATCTGATAATAAATATAATATGTTTTTCAATATAAATATTATAGGTCTATATTAAGGTACGATTTCGGGCCATGTCCTAAAATAGACTATTGACTTCGAATTTCCTATTCGAAAAGAGCTATTTTAAATACTTATATCTTGCACAGCTTTTAAAAATTTTCTATTTTAAATCAATAATTTTGAAATAAATTTTAAATTGCTCCAAAAAATTTATTTTTATAAAAAAGTCCATATCTCTTATAATATTATATATCTTATATTATATATCTCTTATAATATTATATTCTCTTATATATCTTTACTAAATTTTATGTAGTTATTAAAAACAACAACTAAAGTAGTTGATACAAGTTACAAGCTTATAGTTTGATTCTCTGGTATAGGGTGTTTAGAAATAAAAATTTTCTTTCGTAATTTATTGTTGGCTTCCCAAACCTTTGATCTCTTTAAGTTATAAAATATTCCTTTAAGTATTTCGGAAGAAATTTTAAAAAATGTCAAAAACTGAAAGTGTCTCTTCCATTATTGTTGGGTAGCGTGTCTATATATACACACACAATTAGAACAATGTTACATAAGATCCTTAAACTATTTTGTTTCTTAATACATTAAAGCTTAAAATCTCTTAAGATGTATAATGTATTTTTTCATCTTTGTTTTATTTTTATAATTATTAAGCAGAAAATTGTGATAGAGAACGTATGTAGATCTAGAATGATGTAATCTTCCAACCATTTTTGTTCCTGTAACCTTGTCTGTTTGCCAACTTTACTGTAATCTTTTGAATATTAATAAATACCACAGTGGGGCATCAGCGGGTACCTCGGCCGGCATAGCCGGGTCAGACTTCTTCTCTGCATGCCCTAATTAGGGCAAGTTGGTTTAATTTACTCACCTTATTTTAAAAATTAAAAAAAATTTCTTTAGAAAAAGCACTCATGCCATTAAAATCCTAATTTAAATTATTTACACCTGATGAACATAATGCACATATGCTAGTAAAATAAAAAGAAATTGTCCAACAAAAAATCTAAAATATTTAAACAGAATCAACTAATATAAAGTCATTTCATTTTGACTAATTAAAAAATCTTACTAGAAATAGTTGATAAATCATAAAATTTTTAATATGTTGTAAAAAAGGGAAAAGTTAGCTCATTCTTGCTGATTAAGTGACAGAAACTTGCATAGTAAAAAGGCACTTATATTCGACTAATTCATAATTCTACCAAATAAATAATTGTAGAACTAAAGAGGAAGATAATTAGGCATTAAATTAAATATAATAGTTAACAAAGCAAAAATAAATTTAATAAAAGAATTATTTATGTTTCGACACCTCTAATTTACAAAAATGTAATTTAACATGCTGTGTAAGAAAATTACTAAAAAAGATAAGTCATACATAGAATTATTTGCTAATTTAGAAGACATTTCTATATCACTTAGATCTGGAGGGGGAGGTAGTGGCTCATCGCAATTCATGACTTCATTTTCTTCAGTTAAAGGAGGAGGTGGTGGTAGTTCAGGAGTAGTAGGGTGTTCTATATCCTCAGAAAGTGTGGATTGAATGTTGTGGGGTGACAATGGTGGTGAGCTAAAAAATATATAAAAGATATAACACATTTCTTTTATTGTTATAAAACCTAATAATAATTAACTTCAGTCCAAATTAAAAATAACCATTAAAAAATATTGAAATTTCTGGAATCAGAAATTCCCCTGCAGTCAAAAACTATTCAACTCTTTAAATGTGACCCCAAACTCAAATCCAGGTACAAATTGTTTGATTTTACGACATATTATGAAATTAAAATATAGATACACAATACTATTAAAATACAAAATTTAAAAAATTTGCCGAATTATTGAGGCAGTTAAAATAGAGAACCCACAAATTAGATATTTTGGATAATTTGCACATAGCTTCTCAAAAATTACAAATAAAAATTGTAAAAATAATGAAACAAAAACATTAACCAGGTGATTAAAAAAAATAATAAGTCAAAATATGTTTTTTTACTAAGAAGGAAAATAAAAATTCGAAAATAAAATATTATTTCGTCAAATGCTAGAAATGTTCAAGAATATAATTCAAAAATCATATAATGATATATTTCATTAAATGATTGATATGATTCATGACAACATTAAAAATATTTAATTCAAAATTTAATTAATTTAATTATTATTTAAAAAAGATTATTGAGTGTATTTTTTAGATTCAAATGAAAGTTATTTATAAAAGCATATTCAAAATATTAATTATACCTAATAGATAAAGACATGTAAAAAATTAGTATTGTAAGATAGTATGTAATAAATTAAGCAAGTTAAGAAAACTGAAATATATTCATATTACAAATGTAAATTATATGAATGGCCCCTAAAAATGTTTATTATTATTTGTTACATAGCTCAGTTTTCTTTAACGAAATTATTTAAAAAATAATAATAATAATTTTGAAATGTAAATACAATGAGCATTGAAACTAAAAATTTTTGTCAGAAGGAATTTATTATATGGTCCCTACACTCATAACCCTAGCAACAATTTTACATTGGCCCCAGATGGACTCAAAATTGGCTAATATGGGTCCCATAAGACACCCCATTTTTTACCCAACATTACAAGTCTATAAGTGTCCAACATAGAAAATGATATTGGCCCATTATTGAAAGCCATTCTAAAACCAATACTATTACAAAATATAGAACCCTAATATTGGCTTGTAGAGTGTGGGTTGTTGCATGTTCTGACCAAGCCCCCAAGTTGCCTACGTGGGGCGAGGCTAAAGGACTTTATTGTGTCTAATCTAGACAGAGTAGCAACAGCATGAGGAGTTCAAGTCAATTGTTCACTGTGTGTGCAAGTCACATCCATCAAACTAAGCATGTTTATATCGTCTCCTTCTCGTCCACGCCTATCTCGACATTTCTGTCGAGATAAGCGTAAGTCGCCCTTGTGGTGAAACATATAGTAACTTTCATTTTTTGAAAATAAATGCATACATAATCCACTGTTATAATTTGGATTTTACACAGAAATAGAACTTTATATTAACAAAATAAATAAAATTGAAAATTTATAACAATGAAACAAAATATTTCCAAAATTTGCAAATTAAAAAAATATTTCACTACATTTTATATTCCATTAAATCTATTTGAGCATATGAGAGCTCTCAAATAAATAAATATAAAATGAGAATTTTATCTTCTACTCAAGACTATAAATATTACTTAAGAATTATTCTTAGTCATAAATTAAATTTATGTTTTGATTATCATGACTAAATTTCTGAAAGTTTTAACATCCTAAGCATAAATTTTATAGCAGCATTTTAACACTAAACATACTTTTGCATCGAAAATGCACCTATCATCTTATTGTTTCTGCACATTTGATTTCATGACTTTTTCTAACAATTATATACAGTTAATATTCTATTAATATTATTATTATTTTTTTTTGCATTTTTTTCAAATACTTGTTGTATACCTATTTCTACCATAACCGTTCNGGTCAAATGGCCGTTTAAGAACTTTTGCATCGAAAATGCACCTATCATCTTATCGTTTCTGCACATTTGATTTCATGACTTTTTCTAACAATTATATACAGTTAATATTCTATTAATAATATTATTAATTTTTTTTGCATTTTTTTTCGAATACTTGTTGTATACCTATTCATTTGACCAGGAGAACAATTTATCGCTTTATAAGATTATCGGATCAGAAATTACAATGTAATGCGTGTTCAACCTACTGCAATAAATTATTTGCACATTTCTGCAAAGACTGTTGCGCAGTTAGTTCAATCAGAATAACTGTGAATTCAAATTTCAAGAAAGTACCTAAAATTTTAGATTGACATTTTTGAGTAAGTAAAAGCGACAAAAACTAAATTCTTTGGTAAGTAGTTTATATTTTATTTTGATAGCTTCACTTCATTTCTAACTAACAGTTAGTTTTTATCCAGAAAAATTTTGAAACAATCAAGACAGCACAAGTTCTTAGAAGAAATAATATTGATTATAAGAATAATTATAACTATAATTCTTATAAATTTTTATTATTATTAGAATTATAGTTTTTTTAGATTCTTATAATTATAAAAATTGAAATAATAGTAATTAAAAGAAATATGTTTGCGGAAAATGTACAATGGAAACACCCTGTATATGTAAAAAATGCATTGATCAATGAATTAAAAATTCTTATTCTTTGTGTTTGTAAAATATAAAAATTGGCAAATATACAATTTTGTTTAATTATAATAAAGTTTTTTTAGTTTATTTCCTTCCTAACATCCATATTTCATACATTCAATCAAGAAACATGAAGTTTGATCATTTGACCAGCTATGATAGAAATAGGTATAGATTAAGTGTTGGTATGTTTAGTGTTAATTGTTAATTGCCCAAATCATGAAATAAAAGCGGAGACTAACCTGACTTCAGCGAGAGGAGGAGGTGGTGGAGGGGGCCTTTTGGGAGGCTGCTTTGGTGGAGGAGGTGGAGGTGGGCGTCTCTTCTTTTCACAAGTTTGAACTAATGTTACTCCTTCAGACGATACCACTTGGATAGAAGCAGTTTCATTGGAATGATGCACTTCTTTTAGTTGAACTTTGCGTGGTGCTTTCAAAAAACTAAAAAAAAATTATAAATTAAAATCACTAAAAGGATATACTTTAACCCTTTCGCACCTAACGGGACACATACGTCCCAAGCAAATTTCAAAAAACTCTTTTGGGACAGAAACCCTTCCCTGTCTAATGGGAGACTTTTCCATCAGTCCTGCCAATATTTTTGAATGTATTTTCATTCACAGAACATAGATGGCGCTACCGCACATAATGCTACCCTACTCATAGTTTATGCTACCAAAATTGTTGTTGTAAAAATAAAAAAAAACTCTTCGCGAAAGAGTTAAAAGAGCTTTTGAGAAGAAAGAACAAAATATTTTATTTTTTAAGTATCTTAAATAATTTTTAAACTAGATTATTAGTTAAATAACAAAAGCATTCGCCAATTTTCAAAAATATCAGTCAAACGCAAATCGTAACAATTTTTTACGTATTTTTTTCGATCCAGTGGAAAAAATCATTCACTAAAACACTATTATATTCGCCAAATTTAAGATTTTATCGCATTTGGCGAGGTGACAAATGCTTAGTGCAGGCCCTAAATATATATATATGTATACATATTACCTACATAGTGTGTAAACAATTTAGAAATACAAAGTTACAAACACAAATCAAGCAACGAAAAAAAAATTCTAAAGATATGTGTGTTAGCAAAAACAGCATTTCATCAGGGGACACACTGCCTGCTAACACACAGGAGCCTTTCTATCATCAGTGGTAATACCTAAAACTGACTGTGCCCCGAGGCCCCATAACGGATAAAATAAATAAGAAAAAGACATTTAAAATTCAAAAATTGAAATGTAAATGCAATAAAAAATTAATAAAACACAAGCACGAGTCAAATGTACACAGAGAAAAAACTAATAATGAAACACCCACATATAAGAAAAATAAATAAAGATAAAGTTATATTTAGAATAACCCAATCAAAATAAAATTGCCAAATATTTAAAAAATTCCTTAGATATATTATTCCTTAGTTATATTCCTTAGTGCTTGACCCCTTTCGAAAAATTTGAAAAATATAGCAAAAACATTCAATAATTAAAAATTCCAATAAAGTGATGTCCTCTATATTCTTCAGGAATAAAAATCTTAAGTTTCATCGCATAGGCCTATTTATGCAGGCTCCAATATCGGTCAAATTAGTTGAACGTCTTTAAAATACTGTGAATTAAATAATTTTAATTACAATAATTAAATGGAAAATTAATTTTCTTTAATGTTATTTTGAAGTGCCTAATAGCTGAAAGAAAATCTGTTTTATTATCATAAATAAATTTAAACCTAATAATTTAACCAATCTAACTATTCTTAAAAATTTTAAAGTATAAATTGGAATTAAAATGAGTTAAACTAATAGCATTAAACTTAAAATCTATTCTTTGATCGTATTATCAGAATAAAAAAAAAACGTTTTTTATGAAGTTTACTATCAAGATCTAAAAAATGTATTTAACTTTCTAGAATTTGATATTACATTTTTTAAATTTTTTATATCTTGATATTAAACTTCATACCAAAAAAAATTTTAACTGTCCCATTTGACCCTTACAGGAGTCCCACTTTTTGTAACAGCAAAATCTAGGTTTTGTACCAGTTTGTCTCAGTTAAGAAGCAAGTTTTGCATCTAAGCAAATTGTATTTGTAACAGGGAGACACAAATATCACAATAAATAAATAAATTTATTTTGAAATACCTTTTAAAAAAATTTTACAAGATAAAACAAACAAAGCACTATAATTATTTTATTTTCCATTTTACCAAGGAAAAAAAAAAACAATTCTCAGAAGTTAAAATTGCATTTATCTGTAAATTTTAAAAATTAAATAATGAGCTATTAGTTTAATAGGTCATATCAAACCACAATAGAAAATGTACAAAAGTTTTACAGCTAAAATTAAAACATTTAAACAAGCATAACTGTGATAAAAATTTTATACAACAAATCTGCATTTATTAATTAATTAAATGCAAAGCATCTGATATCATTAAAAATATAATATATAATAATAAAAATATTTTTTTAAAGCAAACAATACTTTAAAAAAGGAGGAAATATTTAATTTACAAATAATTAAATCTGGGTCTTGTGCAGAGCTCCCCTTATCTGGCATTCCAGGCGATGCCTGCCTTGTTCTCCCCCCCCCCCTGCAAATACACTTTTTAGTGAAGTGTCTTTCTCTAATTTCACAAATTAAATTCTTAAGTATTATAAAATTATGTAATATCTGTTAAATTGCCAACTTTCTTATTTCTATAATTTGAAACCGCAATTCAAGAGTAATACAGACATGTAATTGCTGGGAGAGGAAATTATCTTGAATTTTTGTTTTAACTGCAGATTTTTTTTAATAGTACTTAGTTTTTTTTCTTTTTGTACACAGAAGTTAAAAATCGAAGTCTCATTTTTATGCACAAAAGTAACATTTATAAAAAAATTTTCTCACCTACACATAAAAGAATATATATATTGAAAAAAATTACATATTTCTACTTCTCAAACCTCCTATATGAGACAAAAAAGAAAAAAAAGAAAGGATTTTAAAAACAGTGAAATCCACAGCAATAACTTAAAAAAGATTTATAAGCAAACCACATATATTTAGGACGAAATCACAAGAATCAGACGCGTCAAAAAAGGATTAATTAAATGTATGTTTCCAGTGCATGTGTTGTAATAAATAATATGTTATTAAAAATGTCAAAAATAAATATGTAACTTTAAAAAATACGCGAAAATCAGTACTGAAAAATTTATTGAAAAAAAAAATCAAAATATTGCGCCAAATATTTAATACTTAAGGACATGATTAGAATTTCTCATATCATAATATCGAGATTCTAAAAAAATCATGTGAAAACCAGGGTTTGTTGATTTAAATCAGCTTGATTTAAATCAAATGATCTTTTTAAAAAAATCATTGATTTAAATCAACTGATTTTTATATATATGTATATAATGATTATAAAAGTTAAAAAACAGTGTTTTAAATTATTGCTACTTTAATTATTTTCTTTTCTTAGTTTTAAAATTTATCTGACATAAATTGCTGCAATAATTAATTTTAGTTCACGAAATTACTTTCTTTCTTTATATGCGTTAAATTCCAACAAATTTGAAAATACAATTTTAAAAATCGTTTGATTCTTGAGATTGAAAGTACAGATTAAAGCAAACATTTAATGCAGTCTTAAAATAGACTTGCATAGCTGTAGAAAGTAATTAATAAACATGAAATTTTTTCCAAAAATTTTTTTAAATAATGTTAATTAAAACACTACGTTTCGATTGAAAAAGCATGGAATTAAAATCTACATTATATTTAATTGGTGGAAAATGTATATTTCTAAAACTTGAGGTTATAATAAAAAGAAATTTCTCTAATATGCCAAAAATATATTCTATATGCCCTTCAAACTATTTCAAAGTCTATTTGAAGAAGTGGGATTATTAACTGATAACTGGTATTTTTTCTCATAATATGTTTACAGTATCTTTGACATTATCAGATTTTCTATTAAGAAATTTTGTAAAAAAAAATTTAAATGAGTACACAGATTTTTTAAAATTTTTTTAGCCTAACTTATCTATTTTGATATAGGATTAAAAATGAATATCTTAATATAAAAATATATAGATTAAATATTTAATTATTTATTGATGAGTGAATACATTTCATTTATAAACACAATCTGTTACATTTATTTTGTCATTTTAAAAATCAAGAAAAAAAATCACAATTTTAAATTAAAATTATGGTTCGCTAATTGAAACTTTGTTAAAGAACAGGGAAAAGAAAATAGTTAAAGAACATGGGTATGTACAAGCCAAATTTACTACCGTTTAAAGGTACCTTCACAAATTCAACTTTAGGAAATTTCACAAAATACTTTTTATTAAAATTTTATTTTTGAGTCTCGTAAGAAACGATAAATTTATATTTTTACCATATTTTTGTGTTGATTTTTAAAACATAATTTTTAATTTTCACAAAATACGTACCTCTCAGAAAAACCTAGACAAAAAACCTGAAGTATTCTTTAAATTCTCTATTTCATCTAGTCTTTAAATTTCATTGATGCATTTGTTTCAAAATGGTTGCTATGCATTCAAGGCTATGTATTATAATGAAAAATTATTTTAGTAAGTTAGAGCTTCTAAAATATTGTTATAATATAGTTTTAATATTAATTTAATTTTTTGATTAAACATTTTTAAAGTTTTTGAATCAAAAATTAAATTTCTTACAATGTAATTAAATAAAAATAAAAAAAATCTGATTTAAATCAAAAAAATTCGATTTAAATTTAAAAAAAATCGAGTTTTTTTTTTTTAAATAAAATAAAAAAAATCACAAACCCTGATGAAAATTAACATCAATAACTGAAGAAAAAAAAAAAACGATCGAAACGAAGCATGTACTTAGGGCAAATCTAGCTCCTCAAAAAGATTTTTATTAAAGGTCGATTCTAATTACTCGTTTCTTAATATTATCGTATAAAAATATCGGTTTTCATAACAAACCACGTGGATATCAGTAGCAATAACTATGAAAAAGTCGATCGAAAAAACAGTGGTACAGTCGCGTCAAAAAGTGATTAATAAATACACGAATTGAATCTGCGTGTCGTAACAATAATGTATAAAAAATATAGAGAGTTTTTAAAAAAAACATTGAAAAAATTCCTAGAAATAATAGCCGATAAAACGATCTAAACACCGCGTGAATTTACGATGGTGTCGTCGCACATTGAGGTTATCAAGAAGTAATTACTCAAAAGAGCGATTCAAACTTCGAATGATGTAATAATATCCGAATTTTTAAAATCATGAGAAAATCAATTGTATTAACTGCAAAATAAAAAAAAAATCGAAACACGAATTTACGATAGTATTCAGCGCGTTGAAAAATGATTAGTGAAATACGCAATTTGAAATTTTCATGTCGTAATATAATATTATAATTTAATTCGATTAAATTGCAGTCAAATA